TCAGTCAGTCTGCCTGTTCTGTTCCCCACTCTGTCTCTGGTGAATCCTCTCACCCTCCTGCACCTCTGGCCTGTACCCCAGCTCTTGTATAAATAAATAAATCTTAGAAAAGAAATAAAAATAAAAAATAAAGATATCCACACTCTAAATCTTAGTGGTTACAACTGCCTTCCTTGAAAGAGTTTGTTGCAAGATAGAAAGGGAAGTTTATTTTCTTTTGTAAAAAAATCATTCCATTTAACATACCTGGACCATTATTAGGGATACTATTGCTATACTTTTTGTAACTGACTATATTTTGCTGTCATTTAATTTTACCCTATGTTAAATAAAATTCTCCTGGTTACATTTTGCCCCATCTGGTGACAAGTCCGGCTAATCAGCTTTACCCTGGACTCCTGTTGGCATCTGTGGAGTGAGTGAAAAATTCCTTGGGTGTTGGAAATACTAAAATGAAATAAGAGAGTAATACTGTAGACCCTTCTGTGAGAATTCACCATCCAAATAATAATTAAGCTTCTCAGTCTAGATAGTTGACCCAATTTAACAAAGAACAGATTGTATTTAAGGAAAGAAAATTTGTGTTCCAGGTTTTTCTTTCACTTACATGTTAGGGTTTTCTCTGTTTGAGCAGAATCTGTTTGTCATCGCTGTCCTTTGCTGGTTGAGAAGTCAGAACTAACTGTGACATGTATTCTAAGCCCAGTTCTGTAATCTGGAAAGATCCATGGAAGCACATTCCCTTGGACACTTGAAAAATGATGCCAGCAGCATTTAGCAGAGACCAGAATCTGCCAGTCCCTACATAGTGATCATTTAGCTTCATTGTATGAAGTGGCGAAATCATGTAGATAGGAGCAGCCCTATAAAAGCATAAGGTGTTAATGTTTACATGAGGGTCTATTGTCCTTTCCTGCTTAACTCTTCTAGTATAACTGGCTTGGAAAACATGTGCAAGTCAGAGTTTGGAGTTAAGGTGGTTTTTACTGCAAGATGAGAATGTTGTCTTAATTACAGGCCCCAGGTCTGTGGGAGCCGAACATTGGTGGACAGTTGGTATGCTTCCTTCCATCAAAATAATTTATATAAAAGAACATTGGATTTGGAAGACTGGTTTTGACAAGTGGAATAAAAAAATATTTTGCTGAGGTTAGTTAGGTGCTGGGATAGGATACTAAGAGGGATTTTGAATCTTCTTTATTTGATAGACTTAAAACATGTTCAATTTATAACCTTAGGTTTCAGTATCAAATTAAAATAGATAAATGGAGACTTTAATAGTAGCCATCGGTCTGGGGATTTTTTTTAGATTTATTTATATTTATGCATGCAAGAACTAGGGTGCAGGCCAGAGGTGTGGGGTTGTGAGGATTCACCAGAGACAGAGTGGGGAGCGGAACAGGTGGATTGACTGAAATACACTGCTGAGGGGCATGGTGGGCTAGACAGGAGAGGTCTGCCATGTCATGTGGGTAGCTCCCTGGCTAGGGATCAAACTGATGTCACAGGGGCTGGCAATAGCTTGATAGTGCTGAGACTTTAATCACTGCGCCACCAGGGAGGCCCTGCAGTAGTTTTTTGTTTGTTTGTTTGTTTTGTTTTGGTTTTGGTTTCTCTGGAAAGAGGAAGTATGGGTTAGATTATCCTTGGATGTCTCTTTTAGATATTTTGGTGAGGGTTATATGTGGTTAGGGTAAGATGTAAAAGTGTGAGCAGATAATCCACTGGCTTTAGTGAAGTGTTGAAGACTGGAATGAGGGTATGAAGAAATGATCGGCCACTTGAAAGATGGAGAAAACAGCTCACAAAGGCTATGTAGGAATTTAAAAGTCATTTGTGTAAAGATGTTTAGAATAAAATAAATGGGTAGTGCCTCAGCTAATGAGCAAAAAGTTTATTTCAGATGTGAATGCATAGGCAACTATGGTCTCTGGCTGCCCATTGATAGTCTTGTAATGAGAATATGAGTCAGGATAAGTCAGTGGATAAATTTGGATGTATTAATGTAAAATTAAATCGTGTATTTCTCTTCAGCTGGAATATGGTGTGAGAAGGTAATGGAGGACTCAAAAATTCCTTCGTGCAGCTAATGAACTGGGAGGGAAAATGAGTTACTAAAACTGAGTCATTGAACATCAATGGAGCCTTAGGACCTGGGAAGAAGCTGAAATATAGAAAGAACAAACAATGCCCCTGGTAAAATGTGCTTACCCTAATAAGTCACAGAGAAATCTTTGTTATGTTTCACATCTTTGAAGAAATAATTCCAAAGGAAACACATCTGATATATATTGTGCTAAATACTGAATAACAAACATGACTAAGAGTCCCCATTCACCGGTTTCTGTGAGTAGTGCTACCCTCTCAGGCCGAGGTATGCCATGGGGAAGCCGTGCAGTTTCCTCACAAAAAACTGCTTCCATTGTGTGGATTTTAACAGTTGCTGATTTTTAATTTTTCTGTTTCCATGGTGGTAACATTGGTTAATGACACTGTATAAGATTCGAGATACAGGATCATACTCTTCAAATGTATTTTTTTAAGATTTATTTATTTATGTATATAAGAACTGGGGTACAGGCCAGAGGTGTGGGGGGTGAGAGGATTCACTAGAGTCAGAGTGGAGAGCTGAACAGGTGGATCTTCTGAAATACACTGCTGAGGGGAGCAGCAGGCGAGACAGGAGAGGTCTGCCTCACCAGTGGGTAGCTCCCTGGCCGAGGATCGAACTTGTGCTGCAGTGGCTGCAGATAGCTTCATAGTGCTATGTCTTCACCCCTTGCGCCACCAGGGAGGACCCCTCAAATGTATTGTTACAACGTCTCACCTACCACTAAGGCACCCTTAGTCCTCCACCATAGTCCTTTGGGCCCCTTCCACACCTTGCTCTCCCTCTGCCAGCCCAGAAGCCTCAGTACTACAGTCATATTTCTAGGGTTCGTTTTTGGTTTGGTCTTGTGTGGCCCTTTGTTTTGTTTCTCTACATTTCACATATAAGTTAAACCATCTGGTATTTGTCTTCCTCCTTATTTATTTCACCTTGCATTATCCCCTCCATTCATGTTAGAAATGGCAAGAGTTCATCCATTTTTTTATAGTTGAGTAGTAACCCATTGTGTATATCCAACATATTTTCTCAATCCACTCATCTGTCCTTAGGCACTTAGATGGTTTTCATAACTTGGCTATTGTAAATAGTGCTGCAATAAACATGGTGGTGCACAGATCCTTTTGAATTAGTGTTTTTGCATTCCCTGGGTAGTTACCTAGGAGTGTAATTGCTGGGTCACATGGTAGATCCATTTTTAATATTTTGAGATGTCTCCATACTATTTTTTTTAGGAATTATAATTTCAAAAATTAAGTTCCTGCTTCCCAGTGAAGGGTCTGGCATTTCATGAGAGATTTTTAAATGGTTATGGAGAGTGCTTGGTCCAACAGGATACTGGGAAACTTGGCAGCACAAGAGACAGTAGGTGCAGATGGACTGTGTGTTTTCCTGGACAATCTATGTTAGAATTTTGCAGTGTCAGTCTTTGAAATCGTTTACATATCTATATAACTGTGTGTGCGTGTGCACACAGTTCATTCTTCACTAAAACTCCAGTGCCAATGCCTGTCACTTTTCCTCCCTTCTCCACTGTTTTGCCTTCCCATCCCCTTTGGGGACCAGTATGTTTTTCACAGAGTCTAAGAGTTGTTTTTGCTGTGCTTTGCCTGTATGTGTTATTTGGTTATTTATATTCCATAAATAAGTGAGACCACCTTTCACTTTCTGAATTATTTCATTTAGCATAATCGCCTCAAGATCCATGCATTCTGGGCCCTCCCCGGTGGCGCAGCGGTTGAGTGCTGAGTTGCGAGGCTGCCAGCAGCTTCTGTAGTGCCGGTTGGATCCCTGGCTGCTGCCCGGCCACCGGAGGAGGGTCCCACATGGGGCGCAGACCTCTCCTGCCGCCCGCTGCTCCTCTCAGCAGTGTACTTCGTCAGTCTGCCTGTTCTGCTCTCCTCTCTGGCTCTGGTGAATTCTCTCACCCTCCCGCGCTTCTGACTGTACCCAGTGCTTGTATAAATAAACAAGTAAATAAATAAATAAATAAATAAATAAATAAATCTTTTTTAAAAACAAAGATTCATGCATTCTGTCCTAGTGGTATTCCACTGAGAGATATATTTTACGATGTCTTTATCCAGTCTCTGTCCCTGCCCAATTAGGTGGGCTCTATGATGTGGCTGTTGTGGATAGTGCTACTATGGATATAGGTGCATAAATCTTTTCGTGGTAGTTTTCATATCCTTCTCCTGCTTTCATTCGGAACTCATATCAGGGCACCTGTCTGACCAGGTTATCCACACAGCCCTCTCACCTCACTTTTTCCTTCTGCTTGGCTTTAGCACGAACCTTGACCTGATGTGATAATGTGCTTGGAACAAAAAGCAGGGAGTCCCCTGTCCTCAGCTAGCCACGAGCAGTCTTGAAAAGACATGTTGGGACTGGCTTTATTCATCTGCTGGTTAAAAGCATGAAATTGGGGTGCAGTAGCGGTCAAATTCCACTGGTTATGTTGGCAGCAAGCAGGTGGAGAAGGAAATGGAGGAATCAGCCCTATCCCACCGCCCTCAGTGGAGAACCAGGTAGCACTACCCTCTTGGGGGGAAAAAAGAGGATGGCTTGAGGTGATGGTATTCCCCGAAAAATTGCAGTTGCAAGGCTTATATTAAAATATATGCACCAAAAATAATTTTGACCAGAAAAGAGCTATCAACACAGGATGTTTCTGAGAGATGATTGTACTTGTGAGTCCGTAGACATCTGCCAAGTGAAATACTGGTTCCTATCCCTACACATGTGTGAGGTGCAGGGGGCTTATTATCCCAGCATCTCTTCAACACCTGTCATCAAGAAGGACGTCGGAAAGAATGTCGTGTCCTGCCCTTGACATGTTTAGTATGCCTAATGCTGCCTTCAGGTCTAACCCTAGAAGCCTTTTGTGTTTTAGGTTCGGGGGAGTAAGGGAGAAGTTCTCTACATTTTGGACGCCACCAACCCGCGACACTCCAACTGGCTGCGCTTCGTTCACGAGGCACCATCTCAGGAGCAGAAGAACCTGGCTGCCATTCAAGTGAGCTTATTTGCTTCTTGTTTGTACTACGTAGTGTGAGGAGAATGAACTAATTTAGAACCGTACTCCCTGTTTTAAATTTATTTCCCAATGACCTGCTTCAAATAACAGTAACTAACTCATAAAAGCAGAGAAATCTCATCTAGTCAGCATATGCAGGCAAGGCAAGCCTCGCTGTAAATTGACACCAGATCACTCACTTTACGAGAATTCTTGAGGGAATGAAATACATGGTCTGATATTGTCCTTGGCTGATCCTGCTTTCAAGTACTTTTAATTCATTTGGTGAGTGTTTATTGATAGTTCTTTTTATTTGATGGCTTATTGAGCTCATAGCATAATATTCTGTGTTATTGTTTGGAAAGGCTTCTTGGACAGAGTTTGCTTGTGTGTCTGCTCGTGACTACACTTTGAGCTTCTTGAGGGTCGTGTATGAGTCAGTGTTCACCAGAAAACAGAACTGGTAGGATCTGTCCCTCTCTTTATTTCTAACCTCCCAACCCCTCTGTCTCAGAGACAGACCGAGATTTATTTTAAAGGAATTGGCTCACATGCTTATGAAGAGCCGTAAGTCCAAACTCTGCAAAGCCAATGTCCCACTTTGAGTTCAGAAGTCACAGGCTGCTATAGAACAAGGAAGGGCTGATGGCCTGAGGCCCTGCAGGCTGCTGTAGGTCCGGGGAGAGCCACAAAATATTCGCAAAGAGCGAATATTCCAGTTGGGAGACCATCGGGCAGTAGGAATCTCTCTTAATGGGGGAAGTTCACCCCTCCCTCTCTTCACTCCCTTTTCTTTTTCTCCCTCTCCTTCCTTTCTTTCTTCCTTCCTATATTGTTTTACATCCTTGTTAATATTTTTGACAGTGTAGGATTTCTCCCCTCAGGTGTGGTCACTGTCCCTCTCCCACCACTGAACCCCTCATACTCCACCACAGTCCATTGTGCTCTCCCTGCACCCTCTTCTCACTCCTTCCACCACCCCCTTTGGATGCCTCAGATCTATGGTCAGCTTCCAGGGGTTGGCTTTAAAGTTTGTCTTTTTCCATTTAATCCAGCAATTCCACTCCTAGGTATTTACCCAAAGGACACAGAAACAGTAATTCCAAAGAGCACCTGCACCCCTATGTTTATAGCAGCACTGTTTACAATAGCTAAGCTTTGGAAACAGCCCAGATGCCCAAAAATAGATGACTGGATCAAGAGGATGCGGTATATATACACCATGGAATATTACTCAGCAATCAAAAAAGATAAACACATGCAATTTGCAGCACCATGGGTGGCGCTGGAAGGGATCATGCTCAGCGAAATAAGCCAGAAAGAAAAAGAAAAATACCGGATGGTCTCACTCATAGCAGGAATCTAGAAAACTTAAATAAAGGACCAGGAAAAAGAGTAACTATAAGAAAGAAAAAAATCAAAATCAACAAACAACTATGAACCAGAGACACACTATTGGGGGGGGCGGGGAAAGAAGGGCTTGGGGTCAAAATAAGGGGGTTGCAATTGTATGGGGAATATAAAAATAAAATTTAAAAAAAAATAAAGTTTGTCTTTTTCTGCCCCACTGTTTGGTTCTCTATACTCCACACATAAGGGACACCGTGCAGTATCACGTTTTCCATTCAGACCCATCCATACTGTACTTTACTGAAGTCCATCTGTTTACATGTTGATCTTATGCAGAATCACCGTCACAGAAATACTCAAAATAATGTTCGAACAAAGATCTGGACTCTTCCTTGACCCTGTCAAGCTAATGTAGAAAATTAACAATCTCAGGTGCCCCATGTTTGGAGCAAAGTTACAGTTGGTAGAAACTAAAGGAAAGGGAAAAGAATTAAGAGAAGTAACATTTTTTTGAAAGATTTTATTTATTTATACAAGAACTGAGGTACAGTCAGAGGCCTGGGAGGGTGAGAGAATTCACCAGAGACAGAGCAGGGAGCAGAACAGGCAGAAGGACCAAAGTACTCTGCTGAGGGGAGCAGCAGGCGAGGCAGGAGAGGTCTGCTGCACCATGTGGGAATCTCCCTGGCCGGCTGGGAATCGAACCTGCACTGCAGAGGCTGCAGACAGCTTCACAGCGCTGCGCTCAACCTGCTGCTCCACTGGGGAGGCCCCGAGAAGTAACATTTTTTAAAAGAGTTTAGCATGTGCACAATTCTTAAAGTTTCTTCTGCATCATGTTTGTGTTCAAAAGTTGTATTCAAAATTGTGAGAGCGTAAGAATTTGATGAGGGTTATGCTGATTTTACTTCATTCTGAGTATAAAACCCTCATTGGCAAGAAGGAGAATGCACAGAAATATTATTTTAAAGTAACTAGAAGACACAGTTGTCTAAATATTCCATCTCCTGATGTTATTCATAAACCAAATTCTTTCAGTACAAATAAGTATTGAATAACCAGTGTGATTGCTGTCTTGTTTTGTATGGATAAATGAGAGATGACTTACCAAAAGATTGGGTTGGGATGGAAATAGGCTATTTTGGTAACCAGAGATATTTGAGCCACTTTCTAGATCATTCACGATATGCGTTGATCCAACCACAAGTTTAAATTTATCTTTCTTTATATGTGCAGACTTTAATTTTATCAAGTGTTTTTGTATTGTTTCTTGGTTTCCTAAGGCAAACTCATCTCACAGAATCCTCAGTGTAGCTCATAGTTTTCCTTTGCAGATTGAGTTTAAAAGTTTCTTTGTAAATGTTACTATAGTCAAAACTGCCTCTTGTGGAACACATGGAATTTACTTTAGGCCAACCCACTGTTTTTCAGATTCATATTGTTTTAGAAATTAGTGTTCTACTGAAAGTACATTCTTTTCTCCTTATGCTTAAATAATGATTTAAAATTTTCCCGACATTCCTTAGTCTGAGAGATCTTGTTGCTCTTATTTCTGTACCATCAGCAGCAGCTGTCTTCGTTTGCCCAAACTAGCAGGGTGTTATATTTTTGAGTTTTCCCTCAGACTCCCTGAGGTCATTCTTGTTTAAGAGTTCCTCTCTCTGAGCATTTTGCTCGTAATGAGTCCTGGAGTTAAGTGAACACTGTCAGGCAGTGTTCCTGTCCCTCTAGCATAGCTCGCATCTTCTCTTTCTTAGTGACCACGCTTTCTAGCACATACACAATTTTCGTGTCCATTCAGTACAGTATTTTTTCTCCCTCTTGATCAACTATGTCTTTCCTTGAAAGAAGATGAGACTCTGCACACGATGACTCCTGTGACCTTAGGAACTCCAAGAAATGGGTTGTCAAGAAATGTTTTTGCGTAGAAAACATAGAAAAAATGTGTCACAATTATTCTGACAACCCAGTATTATTTAACTTAAAAGGGAGCTTTTAAGACATGGATTGAGAATAGATTGAGACTCATGTATTAGAGGCTCTTGAAACTTCATACTTGAATTTCATTAGAATCTATGTGTGTCGAGGCCACTGTGAGTGTCTTTGCATGCAAAAATGAGGGCAGTGCCTGGAATTCCTTTTAACACTATTTTGCCTTCTAAGAGGGGGGTTGAGTATTACCAAGTTTCTTGCCATGCAGCACAATATGGATCTTTCTTAGCTCCCTTGAGGTATGTCTTTTTTACTAGAACAGTAGCTGGAGTAGCAGACTGCTCAGGGTTCACAATCACCTCTGAGCTGGGGCAGAGAGCGTAATAGTTGGGTCACATGGCTGACAGCGATGTCAGCCTTCTGACTGGTTGGGGTACTCTCCTGAGGATTGCATTCCAGAAGCATTGAGTTGGTAAGAGAAGATCATAATGTTTCCTGCATAACATTATGAATCACTGGCATTCCAAATTGCATCTGAAATTTGGGGTATTCAGGAAATTTTTTATTTGAGCTGTATGTCCCAGGAGTGGAGTAAATGAGAAACATTTGTGGTTATATGGCTTGCTTGGTGGAAAACGTCAATACTTGGTCCAGTTTTTTTGGACAAGGGATTAAAAATTTGAGGTCTGTTTTGGCAGAGGTTTGGAGCTTCTTTGTGGAGACTCGATTATGTTTCTAGTTTTGCAATTTATTTGATTTTGGAAAATTTGCTTTGGAAACGATGATTTAAGTACCTGAATTATTAAAGAAGTATCTCGTAAGCAGACAGTCTTCCCACATGCATACATTTCAGGATAATCAGTTGAACTGTATTTTTCAGACTTCTGAAAATTATTTTCAACAAAACCAGAAAATTATGAGTGGTGAAAGATGTGACTTAAAGTGAACCAAAATAATTCTTAGGTTGCTTAAGAAATGGGTGATTCTTATAAAATGTTAATGTTACACTAAAGCCAAAATATATAGGTAATATTTGAAAATATATTTAACCTCAGTGTTTTTGCACTCTTAAAAATTTATAGTTTTGATAGAAAACTATTTCTTTAAATACAGAATTAAGTCATTTGAACCTGCAGTTTTGACTTCATTGGACATTGCAGAGGTGGTGTTTTATATCTCGTGTTCTTGAGGATACATTTTCAGACACATCTTCCCTGAGATGTTCTGCACTGGATTATCAACATAAGCACAAAGCTGGCTTGGTGTTCTAAGAAAAAGGAGCATGTGGAAAGCCATTTGGGTCCTGGCCCTCCTCATAAGGGGTGTCAGTGTGTGGAGATGGTTGAAGTGAATTGAGGAGACTGTGGGTATTGAGCCAAGCTTGTGGCATCAACCCAACTCTGCTCCAATTCCAGTGTCAGTTTCGTTTCCCCATTACTAGCAGAGCTATTTGATTACATTGCTTGATTGCCTAGCCCTGCCTTGTGATCTCCCTTGTGTGAGGATAGACAGTCTTAGGCAGTTCATCTGGGGTCTTTTCTCGGTGACACGTGACCTTTCAGCATAGCAGAGCTGGGGGATCAGACACACATCTCCAAAGACAGCAGCAGCTCAAATATGTTCTTTGGTTGGTGTGTTGCTAACAGATAGAAATCCATTTCTTGCTCTTCTGGAGAGTGGTAGGCCCAGGAACATGGGCTAGGTGTCTGCAGAAGGCT